AATTTCCTTTGGATAATCCACATTCTGATAAAAAATATCCTTCCAGTTCTGCCATCAGCCAGGAAGAGGGTGCAGAAAGAAACATTAATTTTGGTTCTTTAATTGAATCTCCCATTTCACACCACAGTGCCTGAGGAGGGTGAGGCAGCCAGACACGCTGTCAATAAGTGGAAATTGAGGTCAAGTTATCTCACAGGGATTTTGAGTTTTCACAGACAAATCCTGTAAATTGGAATCACAAACTCAAGTTATTATCCCCATTTTCACAACAGAAGTAATAAATAATATTTGGTGTTTCCAGCATGCTCCTCAGTGAGCAAGCTCTGTGACACATTCAATGAATTTTAATTAATTAAGCCTTCCATGGGCAGAGTATTACACACATTCTACGACTTCAGTCAGATTGACCATTGCTAATTACATTAAAGAACCTCCTAGAGGACCTCTCTGAAATCCAAGGCCAGGGCACAGGGCAATAAGGGACAGACCTTGAAGAACCTAGAATTTAAATGCAAATAAAGAGAAAGAAAAGAGAACTCCCCTCCCCAGTATTGCCTTTTTCTAGAGATGGAGAACTGGTGTTATAAAATCATGGAATCAACAGGGTTGGAAAAGACCTCCAAGAGCATCAAGTCCAACCTTTGCCCAGATCCCACCTAAACTAAACCATCACCAAGTGCCACATTCACTCATTTCTGAACATCTCCAGGATCTGGGACTCCACCTCTGTCCCTGGCAGCCCCTTCCAGTGAAGAAATTGTCCCTAAAATCCAACCTGAACTTGTCTTGGTACAACCTGAGGCCATTTCCACTTGTCCTAGAGGGGAAAAGATGCCAGGATTCTGGGAAAAAACCATAAATTATCATGCAAAGAGCAGAAATTTGAGTTTGTAACTCAGCACTGTGGATTGTAACAACTCAGAATTCCAAATGTGCTGAGCAAACACCAAATTCCATCAACACCAAGGGTTTGTCAGTCCTGGAAGACGAGGCCGTGCATTCCAGTCTTCCTGTGGAAGCTTTTATTTTTCCATTTCCATTTTCCTCACCCAAACCCCATCCTCCAAATGCCTGTGGGGAAGGTTTGGATTCCCCACCTCTCCTACCTCAGACTCAGCCTCCAAAGATGCATGAAATGCCTCTCATTTCAGAAATTCCAGATTTTCCAACACTCTGGAGCTGCTCAGATGGAGCCAGCAAGGGCTGACCCACTTCAAATTCACCCACAACCCAAACTGAGGAACTCAAAAATGAGAATTTTCATTTGTAAAACTCTGGCACAGCCTGGTCATTCCCCTCCTGTGGAGCCCTCTTTAAAATTCTGATCATTTTGTTTAAAAGCATGAGCTTCGTGGGGAGTTGGCTTCTTCTGCATTGGGATTCTTTGATTCAGAGCTGTGTTTTATTCTCTGGAGGGATGCCACACGTGTTCATTTTTCAGTCATTAATTTCTGCTAACAGTTCAATCTCTGCAAGATCAAAGGTAGTTTTGCTATTTAGGTCAGCCATATTTTTCCCCAAATGAACCAAATGAAAAGTTTATGCGCAGTGCTATTTAAAAATAATAATTAAAAAATATATATATATAAATTAAGAATTTCAGGATGTTTGCATGCTCTGTAAGGAAAAAATGAGTAGAAATATCATTTATTTTAATACTCATTGGAGTAAGAAGAATCCCAAGAAGGCACAACCCAAAAGCAAAGTAGAAGGGGAATGGCTTCCCATGGTCAGAGGGCAGGGATGGATGGGATTTTGGGAAGGAATTCCTGGCTGGGAAGGTGGGGAGGGGCTGGGATGGGATTCTCAGAGCAGCTGGGGCTGCCCCTGGATCCCTGGAAGTGCCCAAGGCCAGGCTGGAGCAGCCTGGGACAGTGGAAGGTGCCAATGGCAGAGGTGACCCTGGGTGGGCTTTGAGGTCCCTCCCAACTCAAACCATTCCATGATTCCATGAAATCCATGAAATCCATGAAATCCATGAAATCCATGAAATCCATGAAAATCTTTCTACTTCCCTGCACCCTTCAGCTCCCTCTTTGTGCCTCCAGAGTCCCCAGACCCAGGTTCCACCAGACTCACTTTCCTTGTCAATACACAGCAAACCCAACTTTTAACCACAGCTTTCCTTTAATATTTTACGAGCAGCAGATTTACAAATTATTCCCATAAAAGTTCCGCTGGATGGGCTTTCTGATGTTGTAATGCTGTCAATTTATCATCTTGTAAAATTAATTAAAGGGAGCTCGATGCTATGGACTTTTTAAGGAAAAAAAATCCACCAAACCGGGCGTGCATTTTCCCAGGGATTTTACATTCTGTGCCTATAGCTCAACAAAAAATGAGAATATGGGGGATGGATATGGATGAGGGGATCAAACTGGGGGATCTTCAGGGTCCCTTCCAAACCAAACTATTCTGGGATTTTCTGAAATGGGAAGGGAAGGGAAGGGAAGGGAAGGGAAGGGTGATGTCAATAGATCTGATCCCAAGTATTCCATTACAGCTCATGCAAAAAACTCAGTTCCATCTCTTACTGTTTCTCCTCCCCCACCATGAATATTTTTTTCCCAAAATTCTCACTGCTTTGCATTATTTTAATTAAGGGCAATTCTCCTGTTGTCATTGCAGGAAGGAAAAGGCAATGAGAGTTCATAGCACTAGAAAAGGGAGATATTTTCTTTATTTTTATATAAACATCAACAGCCAAATTATTGTGCTCAGTAAACAGTGCTACAGAAATGCTTTTAGGAGTGGAAAAGGCTCCAGACTTAATGAAAATATTTAATCTCCAACCCCAGGTGATAACACTGAAGTCACTGCTTCCACTGAGCTACAGACAAGGCAAAGTGCAGTGAATGCATTGTGAGGGTGGGATGGGATTCCCAGAGGAGCTCTGGCTGCCCTTGGTCACTCCCAGGGATCCAGGGACAGCCACAGCTCCTCTCAGAATTCCATCCCAGCCTCTCCTCACCCTCCCAGGGAAGGATTCACTCCCAATATCCCACCTGAATTTCCCCTCTTTCATTTTCCCTTTGAGGAATTCTACCACGCTGTCCCCTGCCTGCCCCAGGGCCTCCCCAGTGCTGGTCCCATACTGGGAGCACTGGGTGACTCTGCCTGGAGCCTCCTCATTTCCCCCCCTGCCAGAGGACCAGGAGCAGCTAAAAGAGAAGAAGAAGAAGAAGAGGAAAAGCCCTGCCAGGGCCAGGCTGCTGCAGCTTTAAGGGGTTTGGCACAGAGGCAGAGCTGAGGCGGCCGAGCCAAATCTCACACAAGCTCCTTTTATTCCGTGTGCCGCTCGCTGAGGGGGGAAGGAGAGCAACTGTGGCAGAAACAACGTGTGACATGAACACAAAACAAATGAATTTCAGCTAAATTCCCCAAATTCACGGGGCCTGGGCGCAGAATGCAGAGAGAGGGACAGGAAGGGTTTGTGTGCTCCACAGGCAGGAGAAAGGAGCCGAAAGAGCAGATCCAGTGTTTGCAGCGGGAATCCTGGTGGGGAATCCAGCCCAGAGTTCACTTCCAGAGATGTGTATCCAGAGTAAATCCATTGCCAGGGGAATTGAGAGTGTCCAACCAGCAGCAGACCCAGGGAACAAACGGGCCAGTCTGCGTTAGCGAGCGGCACAATGGAGACGGGAACAAATCATGCAAATCCCAATTCCAGCCCCAAAAAAGGGCAAAAGATTATCTAATTCTGCAAGTGTCACCAGCATTTACGTGCTTAATCTGTTTAAAAATTCCAGATCCAGATTTAAAAATACTACAGATCCCCCTGGCACGTGCTGGGGTGTAACACAGCACTTACAGATGATCATTGCTAAAAGCCTTATCAATAATGGATGGAACCAAAGGAATATAAAGGCCCCACTGCCTCTCCTCAGCCTGTTTTACCCACATGGGATGGATTTGGCTGTGACCAGGTCACATCAGCCTCACCATGGATTTGTTTGGGTCAGGAAAGTCCATTATAACCCATGATTTTTTCTCAAAAAGATGGCAAAAAATTCTGGCAAGGCACAAGATGAGAAAAACTCACTTCCCGCCCCAAAACCTCATGAGTGTTGTGTTCTGAAAATCGCCTGAACACAGGGCTTAGGTCAGCCCAAAGTGGAGCAAAAGGCGCTTCCCTGACCCCATTTGTACTTTATAGCACTTCATAAAATATATTTTATCAAACACAAAAGAATTTAGGAGTGACACCATTTCAATGGCAGATCAACCTTTTCTCTCGCTTATCTTTCTCAAACCCAGATTTTAAGATAAAACCTCTCAGGGTGTTCAGAACAGCTGGAAAAGGTATTGACATCATGTCAGAGAAATGAAAAGTACATTTCTGTAATCTCTGAAGCTGCTGATCATTACAGACTTGTCATCTTATTACAAACCCAAATCAATGCTGGGGGTTTTTTTTTGCTTTTACAGCATAATCTGTGCTGAAGAAGAATTCCACTGATTGCTTTGTCAATGCCTGATATGGAACCAGACAGAATCAGCTCCCCTCTTCCCCTCTAAAATCTGTCAGACCCCCAGGTCTGATATTAAATTCTTTGACTCCAGACTCCCTGGCTGGCAAGGAGGAGCTCAAACAGCAACTCAGGAATAAAGGAGATTTTTGGATTTGATATAAAACAAGCAGGAGTCTTTCTATGGATTTCTTTCTATGGATTTCCATGACAGTCTGTATTTTCAGCTTTGAGAAATTAGATCCATCACGCTCAGTTCTATGAGTGACATGAGTAGAAAAATGTTTTAAGTGTTAAGTATAAAAAAAAATCCTTTTGCCACTGTAGAAATGTCCTTCAGTACAAACCTGGCTCAGACATTAAACTTGAGGCCTCTGGAATAGATCACCAAAGTGCAGCACTGTTGGCAATAATCAATGGAACTCAGTGAAGCCCCAAAATTCACAGCCACAGCCACAGAACTGACACCAAGACTTCCAGAAACATCCGTGTGAACACACTCAACCTGTGTGAACAGGGAGAGCAACGCCAGGAATTCTCAGGGATGTCACTTGTTAAAAAAAATGTGGAGAATAGTCATGAGGAGATACCCACAGGCCAAAAACCAGAGAATGAATAACAGAATGTCACTGTGAGGGTGCATTGGTTTAAAAGATTAGGTCTTCCCTCAGGTAATACTGCAGCCCATCATCTTCCCTTAGTCCTGTGCAGATCCATGGCTCGTCTCACATGGCAGAGGAGCGGAAACTGCTCAGTTTGGAATACAAGCTGATTTCATTTTCAATTCCTAATTGATAAATAAAAATTTCAGTTTCAATTCCTAAATGATAAATAAAATAAAAAAAATAAACTTAAAAAAACCATCAGCAGGAATCACCTGTTTGTGTTGTAGAGGTCAGATCCTGAGCTTGGAAAGGACAGCAAAGAGGAGGAACCTCCAGTTTGGCGATGCTGGGAAGGAGCAGCAGCGACCTTCTGCAATGATTCCCATCCGAGCAGAACCCTCCTGCAGGCACCAGACCCCCGGGGCTGACATAAATACAGCAGTCAGAAAGGATCATAATTATTGCTGGCTTTTAATGATTTTAATAAGCTGGGAGAATGAAAGGCAGGTTAACCGTTCATCTGTACCTGACAGGTTTCATTAAAAGCTCGGAGCCTCTCAGAGCTGAAAGGTCTCGTTTGACACATTCTGTCTGCAGGTCAGAACGCAGCTTTCCATCTTTTCCAGCTGCAATCACGTCGCATTTGCTGGATCTCTGCTCTCCATAACAAAGGGAGGTTCTAAGAGGCAAACACTGCCTGACAAATGAGCTTTAAACCAGGCGTTATCCCCGGGGCATCACTGAGTTGTTTGTGTCTCTCACTTTGGCATCAGTTGCTTGCACTGCATTGCTGGGGATGGTCCAAAAGAAAATAAATCCATAAATAAAAATAATCATCTTTTCACAATGAAACCAGTGCCCTCTGTTGTGTTGACAAAGCAGGGCAATATAGAGTGATGCAATAATTATCTTTTACTACCAAAAACCCCCGAGATGAACCACAGCCAAAACCCCAAACCAACCCCTCCCTCCCCAAAAACTCAACTCCCAACTGGTTTCCAGTGGTATCATGGAAATCAAATATCATGGAATGGTTTGGGTGGCAAGGGACCTAAAAGTTCACGTAATTCCACCCCCTGCCATGGGCAGGGACATCATCCACAATGCCAGGGTGCTCCAAACCCCGTCCAGCCTGGTGTTGGACAATTCCAGGGGTCCAGGGGCATCCACAGCTGCTTTGGGCAGTTGAAAATTTGGCTCATGAAAGGCCCATCCATGAGGAATTCTGGCCAGAGACCAGAGCAGGAGGTTCTGAAGGGTGTGCCCACAATTTGAAAGGTCAGACATGACCCAAGGGATGACCCCACATGCCCCCAACACTGGAATTGCAATTGGAGGCCCAGGAATGCATTCCAGGACTTTGGCAAATCACTTCCCTACTCTATGCCATGATCTCCTTTTCTCCTTCAATCATTCCAAGTGCAGGAAGTTTGCTGGCAAAGCTGTTTGCTAATATTGACTGAGGTGACACATTCCAGCTCCAGCAGGAAAGAACACGATGGGTTCCAGGGACGGGAACACGGATACTCCGAGGAGATGCCACCAGCAGCAGAAGGTTTTATTGGAGACACTCTCTCAGACCTACCAGCAGCTCCTTTTCCTTCCAGGAACGCTGCCACAGTCCAGGCAGGATTTTTCCCTTTCTCAATCCCTACTCACTGAACATTGGAATGGCAGAAGAATTCCATGAGGGAAATCAGCAGCCAGATAAAGATAATGGCAGGGAATGAGCAGCGTGAAAGGGGATTAGCTGTGCTGAGCTAATAGGATCACCCATCACCTCCAGGGAATGTGGGGAAAACCCCCTCTCCTTCCTCCCCTCCCCAGGCAGCTCCATCCAGCCATACCCTTGGCATCTCCTCAGAATAAATGCGCCCCTTCGAGGCTTCTAGGAAATAATGACTTGCACTAATTACTCTGATGAGGATTCTACTTTGACTTCCCTCTTGCTGGATTTCTTTTCTCTCCCACATAAAGCCAGGCTGTTGGAAGAGCTGAGTTTAATGAGTTTCATGGTGTCAGTCCAGTTTCTCTTGGAGCAACCTCCATAAGCAGCAACACAATCACACTAATTAGGCCCCTCGTTGCCACTGTCTGCAGCAAAGCCAAGGACAGGAGGGATATTAACCCACCTCCTTTATGAGAGCCATCTCAGAGCCATCCCCACAGATTTAAACGGAATTGCACTTGCAGAGGTCCGGGGAGAAAAAAATACACTCAGAGTCCTCACCTCAGGTTGAGGACAAATCAAATATTCTGAGGTTTGATGCATCCCTGCCCAATGCAATTACAGCTTTGCTGAAGGTCGTTATATTGATCTGAGACAGGGGAGAACAAGGGAAGATGTTCCTGCCCTGTTCAGACAAAACTTTGAAGGAAAATCTCCCAAGAAATGTGGGAGGCAACCTGAGACATCTCCAGAAAGGATTTTTGTATTTTTTTAAATCAGAGAAGAGAAATTTTCTGTTGTCTCCAGGAGTGAATTTTCAGCAGAGGGATGGGGCAACAGAGGGATAAACCAGCTTGGCAGAGTGGGAATGTGGGGCTGTTGAAGACATTCCCACTTTTCCTTACTTGCTTCCTCAAGCTGCTCCCAGGTCAGGAATGCTCAGGAAGGGAAGAAGAGAGCACAGAGCTTGATTAATGTCTAAATTATCTACAGGGATCTTGGGGAGAGATCAAGCTTTGACCTTACCTGGCTTCAGCCACCCACAAATAAACACCGTGGACAGCAAAGTGAGGACGGCTCCAAGTTCAAACCTCACTCCTGTAAATTATTCCAGGCTGGGCTGCCAAACCCAAAATAAAGCCCTGAGATCAGCAGCCCCTTCTGGAAGTGTCACCCCCCACTCCTGAGCTGCACTGAGCGTGGCAGGGGACCTCAAATCAATAGGACAATGACAGAGAGTCTTTGCACACACCGTGACATCCCCTTTGTCTGAACGCTCCAGAAGAAATCCTGGGAGTTGCCTAATACCACTGCAATTTTTGCTGGTTCTTTTACAATAACATTTAGAGAATGAAACACAAGGGTAATATTGTGATTTAAATCCCTTTTTAAAGAACACTGGCTCTGAGGAGGTCATAAAGTTTGGAAAACATACAAGAGGAGAGTTACACAAGGAACTGGAGGGATCCTGGAGGATGAACTGAAGGCAGACACGTGCATTTGCATTAATTAACAATCAGCTGGGGATCGAATTGTCTCTATCTTTTAAACACCTCAGAAAGTGCCAGCGAACAGAGGGACACGGCAGAGCTCAGCAGCACCACAGCCACGTTCTGTCCTTGTTCTTCATGCTCTCCACAAAAGGCCTGAGCAAAGAGCACATCCCTGCTGCAAACATCCCACAGCCCCGCAGGAATTCCACAGGGACATCCCGGAGCTGCTTCACTCCTGGTGTACGGAGTGGGCACGGATTGATCCAGCAGAACTCCACCAAAGGGTGGAAAAACCTCAATTGATGCTGCTCTGATACAAATCCCCCCAAAGTCAATCAGGATTTTGCAACAAGGAAAAGGAAGGTGAAGCAGGGAATGGCAGGAAGAGCAGAGCAGGGAGTGGTGATCCAACAGCAGAATTTGGTCAGAGTTAGAATCAACAAGAAAATGCCCTGCTCCAGAGTATTTGCATTTTTGATGCGTTTTCAATCTTCCTTTGAAGAAGCAGATTAAGCTAAGGACTTCTTTGTCAATCAAGGAACTGTGGGGGAAAAAACCCTTGGAATGTAAGCATCCACCTTGGCTTACACTGTTTAAGATCTACCAGTTCTTAATCTCCTTTCAGAAGATTTAGTTGGATTTAGATGGCAGAAGGCAGAAAAGGGTGCAATGGGCATGGGAGGAGTGGAAAGAAAGGGAAATCTCTGAATTGCCATCGATGATCAGAGGAAGGAAAGCAAAGGCTGCTGCCCTTGGGGCTGGATTTGTTACAAATCCCTTCTGGGAGCAGCTGCATCCTCCGGGGATTGGCAGGGAGAGACAGAGCCTGCCATCCTGCTGGGGTTCAGTTCAAATGGAGCCTGCCATCCTTCTGGGGTTCAGTTCAAATGGAGCCTGCCATCCTGCTGGGGTTCAGTTCAAATGGAGCTATAACCCTGCTGGGGTTCAGTTCAAATGGAGCCTTAACCCTGCTGGGGTTCAGTTCAAATGGAGCCATAACCCTGCTGGGGTTCATTTCAAATGGAGCCTGCCATCCTTCTGGGGTTCAGTTCAAATGGAGCCTTAACCCTTCTGGGGTTTGGTTGAAATGGAGCCTGCCATCCTGCTGGGGTTCGGTTGAAATGGAGCCTTAACCCTGCTGGGGTTCAGTTCAAATAGAGCCTTCCTCCCTTCTGGGGTTCAGTTCAAATGGAGCCTTAACCCTGCTGGGGTTCAGTTCAAATCCAGGCCATGGGTGGCTTTAGGCAATCACAGGGACGGGCTGGAAACTGATTTTCCCTCCTAACCTCAGAGCACTGAGGGATCCGCTCCTCGCTGCACTGGGAGCTCCCCCTCCTGTCCTGCTCCTGGCCACATACTGTGGATATTTGCAGGATATTCCCTCTGTTCCCTAGGATAGAACCTGGCATCTCAGCCCTTGCACTGAAGCACTGTTTAATGATTTTTGTGGTATTTCCAGCGGCAAAAAGCTCCCAGTTACTCTGGAATCTGCCATACAAGGCTAAACCAAGAGCAAAACACAACCTGCTGCCTCAAATGGATGGATTTTCCATCTCAATGGATGTTCCCCCAACTGGAACATGCCCTGAGCTCTGTAATGTCAGTGCAGTGCAGGATGAACCTGCCCAGGGTGCAGGGATATTCCTGGGCACGGAGATGATACAAAGAAATCAGCCCCCAGTGTAAATCCTGGGTAATGGCACCACTTCACACAGACAGATCCGAGGGCTGAATTCCTGCACACCCAAAATTCCCAACCTGAAATCCACAGAAAACTGCAGGATAATCCACACCTCACACCCGCTCCCTACCCATTGAACTGTTGGCTACTACAAGAACTCCTAATGGCTTCTGAACCCCCAGCTACCCAAATCTTGTTCCTTTTTGGAGGCCCTGCATCAATTCCCATGCCATTTGCACTGTTTCCTAGGACAGAGAGAATTCCTAATGATAGGCAAGGTTTGTTGAAGGCAGCAGCTCATTTAGGCCTGGCTCCCCTTAACAAACCAAGGCTCTTCATCTGTCCTTTCAAGTTATCCTCAGAAGGCTTTATTTCAACAGTGCAGATGAAGACTGAGTCTTTTTAAGTAACTGCTTTATCCTCTTTGGGAGGCAATTAAAGAGTGCAAGAAATTACCACCTTCTGTTTCTATTCTTGTCAGGCCTGGATAATTGGTTTGTTTTAAGGGAGGGAAAACCAGTCAGACATTGCCAACTCCAACATTTCGAGCTGCTCGGAGACGAGCAGGGCAGTGGCTCTGCCAAAGCCAAGAGCCTTTGGGAGAGGTGCCCTGAATTTCCCTGCAGGCAGCTGGCCTCTGTCAGCTCTGGGATCATCTGGATCTTTGGAAAAGCAAGGAGTCCCCTCATCAATGTCCTGCCTTCCTCTCCTCACCTTCCTCT